GGGGTGAATAGCCTTGACCTCATTATCTGCTGATATCAGACAGACCAAACACGACTAATAATAAATAATAATAAATAGCATTTATACGGCGCATTTCCATTTCCTAAAAGATGCTCGATGCGCATTACAACGAAAAAGACATCACATCTTAAAAATTAATCGACACAAATGTGTACGTAAAACAAAGTATTATACATATAATATAAATGCATATTATGTGTAAAATTTTATACCAGAAAAACAGTCTCGCAGTGAGGTTGAAAATGTGTTCACTAAAAATATACAATGCAATATAAATTCACGAACAGTCAAAATACAGTTGAAACGTGAGTAACTAGAAACATTCATTAAAACATTAATTCTATACAGATAGAAAAACATTTCCGCTCTCTCTCTCTCTCTCTCTCTCTCTCTCTCTCTCTCTCTCTCTCTCTCTCTCTCTCTCTCTCTCTCGCTCTGTCTGTCTGTCTCTCTCTCTCTCCCTCTCTCTCTCTCCCTCTCCCTCTATCTCTCTCTCTCTTTCTCTCTCCCTCTCTCGCTATCTCTCTCTTTTCTCTCTCTTTTCTCTCTCTATCTCTCTCTTTTTCTCTCTCTCATTCTCACTCGCTATTTTATCAGTCTCACAGTCTGCATACACATGCATATATATCACAGTACATCATTATGACAGGTATGCTTTTGTGAATAAAAAATGCTTCAGCTGATTTTTGAAAATGGAAATTGTTGGGGCAGATCTTATTTTATATGGGATTAATAAGAGAGACGAATATGTGAAAGAGCTATAGAACGCCAACACAGACCTGGACATCCTGTTCATAGATCTGGATAAGGCATTTGGCTGGGTCGACAGAGACAGGCTATAGCAATATTTGAGAGAATATGGAGTGAAAGATCGACTTCTTTGTATCATCAATGCTCTATGCGAAAATCTTAATAGTCTGAGTTGTGGAAGTACTAGCGAGGGAACACTGACTGCTTCAAAGTGACATTAGGTGCTAGACAAGGCTGGGTCGTATCACCATTACTCTACAGAGTCTACACGGACAAGATGACACAAGAAGCAAACAACAACTCAGAACAACTCAACGAACTGCTCTCCGCTGATGACCAGAGCCTCATACACCAAGACCATGACAGCCTCCAAGAGCATATAACTTAATTGAACAATTGAACCAGGCATGTGAGAAATAGAGAATGAAAATGAGTACATTGTACAACTAAGACAGAAGTAATGAAGGTCTCCAGAAACAAAACCTTATTAAATAGCACACAACTGAAACAAGTACACGAATTCAAATGCCTTGGAATTGAAGCATATTCACACCAGACGGGAAAATGAACAGGGAAATTTTAAACATAAGTTAAAAAGACGAATGCGGTTACATACCCACCAGCACCCATCCTCTCTTATCAAACGTCCAATAGGGACATTTAAAGAACCAACTCATCAGATCAATCTTAACACCAACTCTCTGCTACCAGTGCCAGTACCAAACCTGGACGCGCAACAAAGCTCAGCAAAATAGAATAAGAGCATGCGAAATAAAATGTCTTCGAAAAATTTTTAACATCACAAGAAGAGACAGAAAAAGAAACGAAGGCATCAGTCATCAAGTAGACGTCGAATCGATTATGAAATACTTCGAGAGCGAACCAATAACGTATTAGGTGATTTTGACATGTAAAGAGGATGGTGCCACAACAGCCAGTCTCCAAGATCTATCGTACAGCATGCGATTCAATGGCCATCTCGACACCTCGAATATAAGAGGACAGAAAAGTTAAATATATAATAAGTTACAGAAAATCTCTCTCTCTCTCTCTCTCTCTCTCTCTCTCTCTCTCTCTCTCTCTCTCTCTCTCTCTCTCTCTCTCTCTCTCTCTCTCTCTCTCTCTCTCTCTCTCCCAGAGAGAGAGAGAGAGAGAGAGAGATGGGGGGGGGGGTAAGGGTGGAGCTGAGGACCATGGTGATCGGGAAGGGAAGGGAGGCCAAGAGAGTGTAGATTACAGCTCTAATCATGTCAGCTTTAATACGTGGCACACATCAGATAAAACATTGCACAGTACAAATCACTTTTGGTTCTCTCTTAGAGCTGGAGTGAAGCACGTTGGTCCAATAATTGCCGTTACGTTCGTGCACGTGGGGAGAAAGAGGGGGGAAAAGGGGGGGGAGGGGGAGAAAGAGAGAAAGGT